TATCTTGCTGGTAATGGTGTTGGTCACCCGCCATGTCTCGGACCCATACAGGAGGACTGCTTTCACATTGGTGTTGAAGATGCGGATCTTGCTGCGCTGAGATAAGGCTTTGGAGTTCCAGATGGCTCGCAGGATGTTGAATGCAAGCCTTGCTTTGTTGATCCAGCTCCTAACATCTTCATCTGCACTGCCATCACTGTTGACTACGCTTCCTAGGTAGACAACGCGGTCAGTTCCCACTAAGTCTTCTCCCTGTAGCTGCTGTGGATGTTTTTGTCGGTTGTTCAGCCGCATCACCTCTGTTTTTCTGACGTTAATCTTCAGGACGGTCTTTTCTGCCTCTTCACCAAGCCGGGCAAGCTTGGACTGTGCATGTTGCTGCTTATGGAACAGAAGGCTGACGTCGTCTGCAAAATCCAGGTCCTCCAGCTGTTTGGTGAAGGTCCACTGGATACCGGTATTGCTGCCCTCTGTGGTTCTTCTCATGATCCAGTCCATGACGATCAGGAAGCGCGTCGGTGACTGCATGCAGCCTTGCCTCACCCCGTTTTTCACTGCGAAGGGGTTGGCCAGTTTTCATTTGTGGATGATCTGGCAGGACGAGTCTTCGTATAGCTCTTGGATGATGTTGATGCGCTTCTGTGGGATTCCGTAGTGCTGCATCAGTTTCCAAATGGTCTCCCTGTCGACACTATCGAAGGCTTTTTCAAAGTCGACGAAGATTGTGTACGAGGGAGACTGCCATTCGATAGACTGCTCGATGATGATGCGCAGAGTGGCAATGTGGTCTGTACATGATCTGTCTTGTCTAAATCCTGCCTGCTCTGATCTCAGTCTCTTGTCCAATGCCTCCTGCAGTCTCTCCAAGATGATTCTGGTCAACACCTTGCTGGGGATGGACAGCAGCATAATTCCTCGCCAGTTGCCAAACTGGGATAGATCGCCTTTCTTTGGGAGCTTCACCAGGTACCCAAGCTTCCAGTCAGAAGGCACTTGCTCCTGTTCCCATATCTTCACTAAGAGAGGATGTAGCATCTCCACTGCTGCTGCCACGTCTGCCTTGAGAGCTTCTGGAAGGATGCCGTCAGGCATTGACAAAAAAGGTGGGCATGGGGGGTCACGAAGAAAAGTAAGAAGTATAGAAAAAGTATAATGACATAGGAAGGGCATTCATGCTTTGAATAATTTGCTCACAAACATTCACCAAGTTATGAGTAGTGTTGGGTCTGTTTCCACAAGCCCCGCTGGTTTAGAGACTTATTCATCATGAAGAAAACAAGACAGTCAGCGATCGATCAATTTACTTGCAAGGGAGGCCTCGTCGGTATCTCAGAAACGCACTTCGAATCTCATTACGAATGATCCCGACGACGGCCTCCTCTCGCTGCCTTTTATTGAAAATGTTCACAAAAAACAGTAGCACCTCCCCTCGTAAACCCCCTTGGTAACAAAGACAAGGCACTGTATGTATATGCGTGTGTGTGTGTGTGTTATGTGAGAATGTGTGTGTGTGTCTTCCTGATCACAACTGTTTCTACAACATCCTGGTCATAAAGAGGGTAGTCTCCCCCACACCCAATGTATGGTTCACCATAGATAACACAGTGAAGCCATACAAAGGGCAGGAAGCTTACCAAACATCAAACAGAATCTTCACAAGGGATGTGTAATAATCCTCCCCCCGCACTGAGTGGCTGGAGAGGTGGTCAGGGACAAAGGAATGTCTTGATCCTATAGATTGAACTAAGACTTTACAAATTTAAGAAGCATAATGACAAACATTCAACAATTAGAATTAAAAAGTAGGCTGACATAAACCGAAACATCACTGACAGTAAAAACCAGTGCCAGCGACAATTTATGCCAAGTAGACTCTCCTGCAATGTAAAGCATCAAAGTGTGGGCGGCCTGTGGTGTAAAGACTTCCTGTACCTGGGGCATGCAGGTGTAGAGCAGCAAATGTGGTGACAAAGCTCTGCAGAGGCATCAGGGCACCAGCATAAAGTGACGAGCAGCAGCATCAAGGAGCTGAAGGTCAAGAGACATCCAGGAGTCCACACTTTGAGATCTCATGCGTACTGCATAAATCGTGCTGTATTTAGTTTTCTGTGAAGCTAAACAAACACAAAATCCTCTCACATCTGCTCAGGACCTTTTTAACCAATTCATGCTTCTTTTAAATCCAGAAGCAATAACACTTTTTAGGTCGCAGCACCTAAACTTCAGACTCTTTTCTTCCATGATGCACATCTGTCAGATGTGGGTGGAAAGACGAAAATTCTGATTTAGATGGTTGCAGTTGAACTTGTTTCTCATTCGGTGAATTTAAAAGACTCACTTTATTTGTGGTAATCATGTTTTCATATAAGATGACACACTCCTGTTCCCTGTAGGCTGATGTGGTGTTTTTTGCTGTACTCACAGTGCAGATTGAGATAAACTCAGCAGGAAAACGGGACTTTAGTTTCCTTGAAGAGCTGAGATGAGCCTGCTGACTGTGAGACATCAGCGACCCCACACAGCAGCAGAAGCATCTGCCAGCTCAGTGCAGGATGCAGATTCAGTGTGCACCCAACAGCTCCACCTGACAGCCAAATAGCAGTAGCAATGAAGATGAGCCAGTTTTCTGCTGTGTGGGAAGTTGCAGCACCATCATGTGTGAAATCTGCAAGAAAAAAAAAAAACCTCTGCAAATGGTGCGCACGCGCACACACAGACAACAAACTGCCAGGCTGGTGCACGAAAAAACAAACACATTAACAAGGAAATGGGAAGTGTGGGCCTATTACTGGCAGTGTTTATTTTTAGAGTTGGAACTCATCTTGCTCATTTACCAGAAACATCACAAAAGTTGTTGTGTGGGCCTTATTAGTGCACATGTCAGGCATTGTGTTAAAACCTGCATGCACTCATTTATGTGTCAAGGTGCAGTAAAGACGACCCAAGGCCCATTTTTTTTCACATTGACTGCAAACCCCAGATATTGCTGGGAAACCTCGGTAGAGCTGATTTCAGGTACCGTGCACCTTTCACATAGTATGAACTGTCCTCACAGCAGAACTGAGGAGATCTTAAGCTCTTAGTTCTCTTTTAGGGAAACATAAAGCATCCTTAATATTTCTTGTTACTTTCATAAGTCAAGAAAATTAAACTCCATCTTTCTGTGTATATAAGCAGTCATGTGAAAAGATAAAGGTGTCTCTGTGCAGTGCTTGCTTTCCATTTCAGCCATTCTAATGTAGATTTGCTAGTGTGATTGGGATCACTGACCTATTGCATGACCCAACTTCGGCCAAGCTTTATCTGTCAGATGTCCTCACATTTGACTCATTTGAGCATACTTTTATGTAGAGTTCATTGAGCTGACTCAGTGACTAAAAGATGCCCAGGGCCTGTGGCTGAAAAATAAGTCCAGATCATCACCCCTCCACCACCATGCTTGACAGCTGGAATGAGGAAGAGAAACTGCAGTTCCTCTACTGGCCACTTGAGGGCGACTCCAAAAGAGACTCCCATGTTAATATGCCTAATTTTATAGCCTGGCCTCTGTGGATAATTCTCCCATTCATCACAGCTGCATGTCCTGACACAGGCAGTTGGATCAGATTGGGGTCTGCTAGGCCTCAGCTACTATTTTGAGCCATTAAACTGGACCTCTTTACTGTTTGTGTGCTGCTGGTGCCTTTTGGATCATTTCTGGATTATGTGACTAACATTACAGCTTCCTGTGAGGTACAGATCACACAAGAAATTATTCTCCAGTTTTGATGAGTGAAATTAGCACTAATTAAATAATAAATACCCAGTTAATGGTAACCTCTGGCTCAAAATTATGCAGTGGTTCACACAGGCTATGTCCATATTTTATACCAAATATGCATGACATATCTGACAACAAAGCACCATATCACATCTTACAAGGTGATCAAATACTTACATCACTAACTAAACTGTACATTTTTTGTAAATCTCCTAATAGTTTTGTTGAGAATTTAATTAAATTATTAAAATAAACCCACCAATTACATTATGGACTGCTGGTGAATTTAATAATTCAGCAATGACTCGTTTACCCTAGTGTATAAATGATCAAATCAGGGTTATTTAGTCAAGTAAAAGACAAAATTTGTGTCACATCACAAAAGCAGATTCCAGCATGTTTATTACCAAATGATGACAATTGTTATCTTCCAGGGGAAAAAAACCAAACAAACAAAAGAAATATGAGGCCAAACGGGGTGCAACAGATATCTTAAGGCTCTGTTAAATTCTTAGCTTCAAAACAAAGATACAACATAGCATGTATCCCAAGAATGCACAGAAAGCAAATAACTAGTATAAAATCAAAGTTTAAAACTGGCTAGCCCGTGTCATTAGCTCTTAATAAATAGGTTACTATAAGAAAAAGAAGAATACAAAGTAAAATCTGATTAATGTGTCAGAACTTCTTATTAATCCACATTTCAGAGGAAGTTATTTTTTTCTAAATGATGAGGAATCGGCGTCTCTGAATATTTAAAGTGACACGCGTCATGGAGTCAAACACAAATATGCACGCTGAACTTCCTGCAGTCGTTCCCCCCTCCCTCCAATAGAATAAAATAAAATAAAAAACTGCCCTCAAGAAAGCTGAAAATGGAAGACCGGCGTCCACGCAAGTCACACGTTGTAGAGACTGAAAACAGCAAAATGGCTCATCCACATCACTTCAAGTTGAATTAGCGGTAAAAAACATTTTCACTTTTGAGCGTGCGTGCTTTCAGATGAGTTTCACTGCCTCACACTACTGAAAAATTAAAAATAAGCATCACTGGTTTAATACAGTTATTCACCCTGCTGAGCTAAAAAAAACAAAAACAAAAACAAAAAAATCA